TCACAGTGACTCTTTCAGTAGAGAGCTCTGGTACAGAGCTGCTGCCACTGTTTTCCCTTTCTAAGATCCCACTGATTAGGCTGCTGTACAGATTCACAGTCAGTGATGTATTTAGGACTTCCAAATGTGATTGGTTCGTTCCTCTGTTACTTCATAATTATCCTGATGGTTAATCTAACGCGTTAGGTTTTCTCTTCAGGACTTGAAGTCCTTACCAATAGGTGAGCTCGCATAGCTATTTGTATCTAGATACCACAGAGGAAAACAGTTTCTGATCATCACAGAAAATGAGCAAAGGCCAAGGAATCTGAGGTTGACATAATGAAAAACTGCATCATTTTTTCTTTTGGTAAACATTGAAAATGGGTCCCACAGATCTGAACACCACACAAGCATGAAGCATTAAACAAGAGTGGTGCTGTAATATGTAGAGTTTAAACACAAGCATGAATCTACTGAACAGAAATAACTCAAAATTACAGACATGCATTTTTAGTACCCAGAAATTATTAGGACTTCTCTGAAGGCCTAGAGGTCCTGAGGGTTCAATATCACAAACCCTACTTTGAGAACCACTATGTTATGGAATGAAAAGTGTTTTTTTCTGTGGCATCACTCAAAGAATATATTTGTGGCGTTTGTTTTTTAAAGAGTGTACTTTTGGAAAGTTACATCAAACGTTAACAAAAAGTAACTTTTGTTGTGGTTATGTTAAAAGTGAAGACAGTACTTAAATCGATACGATATTTGTGCTTGTAAGTAGAAAGGGAGATATTTTACATGATATTAGTTGATAAAAAGTTACAGTTATGCTGCTCAGTTTTATTATTTGTATGAAGAAATAAACATCTTTTGTCACATTTTTGCCTTTTAATACTAAAACAAACACAATACAAGTTAGAAGTGCAGACTCAAAGCTGTCATTACGGATGGTAAATCAAATATAAATGTAATTGTTTCCATAACTGTATAATTAATTATGAAATTGTTTCATAATTATATTTAAATTCTATACAGTAGTAACAAACCTACTTCTATAGGTTAAATGAATACAAGGTGTACCCAAACTTTTGACAGGCGGTGTTTCCATCCACTGTTTGCCACATCACCTCAACTATTCAACTACAGGGAAGACTACCATGCATAATTTGAAGTTCTGTGTCTCTGCTGGAAGACACTAAAGGCTGGTTTTTCTCTGTGTCTGAGTTTAGACAGCTGTCTGCGCTCGTACTTACCTTTGAGTCACGGCCAAATTAGGGACAGATGCGCTCATGCTGACAATGATAAAACTCTCCTGCCTGCCTGCCGGGAACCTTCTTTCTCTCCCTCTCCCCCTCTCTCTCCCTCAACGTTTTCACCAGAGGCAACCCCATGTTTCATCACCATCACCCTCTCTTTACCTGCACCACCTATAATTAACCCTTTACAAAGGCTTTTAAGGAGAGGGAGCCTAATGGACAGAAAATGAAAGAGAAAAAAAGAGAAGAAGGGATTAAGCCTAGACATATGATGTATAGTCAGGCCTACACTTTGCCTGTGCTGTGTGGGGTTATGTTTATGCTTGTGGAATTGGGAGAACACCAAGGCCTTTGTGTCAAAGCTGGACTGTACAGGCTTTTTTTTCAGCTGGTTTCTTCAGGACATGCACACTGTCAAATAACATAACATTGCCTGAAGAGTCAATAAATCTTGAAAGGGAGCTTTACTTTACACATTTTTTTTAATCAAAGTTCAGGTCGTGGCAGGATATTTGGGTTGTTATTACTTAGTGTATGTTTATGGTACTATAGAAGGTTGCTGTACAGTCCTTCAAGGTTCTGGGGCAATAATATCTGCTATAAATGTGCTGGGATTGTTGTGGGAGTGCAGAACATTCAAAAATACACCCTTCCATGACCGTAATCCAGCTGCCGGGCATTCACAAGCCATATTTAGCCTGTATCTGGCCAGCTAGGCCTCAGAAAAAGAGGTTATGTCACAGATCTGTTCTTTTAGGCTCTCCCTGAGAACAATGGGCCACTTTGGGATTTCAGGTCTATTCAATGTCACCTGCATGACATCAGAGCCAGAAAATGTGTTGTCGCCTGATAATTTATCTTAATGGACGTCCCCCACGTCCCCCATGTCTCTATCTCTCGATCTCTCTCTTTTACGCTTTATTATCTCCGTAATCGTCCCCCTGTCTGGCTTTTAACAATCAGCAGTTTCTATTTGCCTTTGGCCACTTGCCAAAGAGAGCATGTTAAACACACCGCTTCTTTTAGATTTAGCCACAGTTGTGGCGTCACTGAAGACAAAAGCTTATAAAAGAACCGGTTTTATGAATGAAGGAACAGGCTGGTGTTTTTGTCACCTCAGATTATCTGACACACGTAACGTCCACATGAAGAAGACCCATTCATTAAAAGGCAGGTGACTCAAATCTGATGCCTGCATTGCGGCTGGGGGCTGGAGTTTATTTTGATGTTGAACAGATTATCAGTTTTTCTTGACGGCAGGATGCAAGTAACAGTTCAAATCCGGTTTTTCATTCTGAACTCAGTGTTAACATTTAGATAAGCTGTGCATACAGTTGTACAGACCTACATGGGTTTCGGCCTGTAGTGGTCAAACTTGTTTCAACTGCTGGGGGGCCTTTGCGTCAGTACAGCTCAGATTTATGGTGTACTTTTTTATGAAAGAGTTTAACAGCATTAAAAAAGCTATAAGTGTGTTATTGCATATGAGCCACATTTTTGGTAATATAGCGAAAAAGTGTTTTCTGTTTTTGCATATTTGTCCCATTTAATTGTTTCAAATGCCTAAGCTAAATTTGATATAAGACAGAGAGAACCTGAGTAAAAACTCAGAGCCAAAAGCCATTATCAGATAAGGTCCGCATTCACTATTCCACCATTAAAAAGAAACTGGGCAAAAATGCTATCTATGGGAGAGTTGCAAGGTTAAACCCACTGCTGACCAAAAGGAATATATGAGCTCATCTCACATTTGCCAAAAAAGCACCTTAATGACCCCCAAAGCCTCTTGAAATATTGTTCTGTGAACTGATGAATCCAATGTGGAACTTTTTGGAAGGCAGGGTTGCCATTATATCTGGTGTAAAGCTAACACAGCATTCCTCAATAAGAACATCACCAACAGTCAAACATGGTGGTGGTAATGTGATGGTGTGGGGATGCTTTGCTGCTTCCCCACACCAAACGTGGTGTCAGAGTTGACAGAGGTGAAATCTTCAGAAGTCTTCTGTACCGCACAGAGGGGTGCTCAGGAGCAATGAAGCTTGTGGAACCAAAGCTAACTGTCTAGCTCTATTTCTGAGCCAAGGCTGAGCAGATCTTGAAAAATGGCCACATAAAACACAATTATTATATACACTGACCAGGAGGCCACTTGTACAATCTGAAGGCAAAATGGCACAAATTCAAGGCCCCTTTGGGGTCTGTCTGTGCACATGCCTGAGCTTGGTACTTTTATGTAGCCATAAAGTAAAATCTCCATTGTAAATCACTGTGCTTGTGCCAAAAGCAGTAAGAATATTGAGTGCTAACCCTCATATGTGAACCCCCATGAATGTAATTGATCCTTTAATGTCAAGGCAAAAAAGTGGCTATTTAAAAAAAAAGTAGCAGCCTTTTAATCTATTCTTCAATACCTATACCTTCAATAACTTCAATGCTGTTGTTGTGCTGATTTTGCAACATAATGAAAGTTTTATTCAATTTTTTTTTTTAGTTTACATGCTACCACTTTCAGCAAGAAAGTATATGAACAAGAATGTACTTCACACCTTTTATTTTTACTCAATAAGTCCCTGGACTGGACTCCGAAAGTGTGCAGCTTGCTAAAAAACTGTTGCAGTGCAAGTGTCTCACCTTACCTGGAAGCTAACTTTTAAAAGGGGATTCTTGTGGACAGGGGGTTAGGGTTGAGTTGTCTTCTCACAGTGGAAGGATGGACAGAAACACCTGTGGGTTTTTTCAGATCTGAAGCAGCTTGATTTTCTCCTCTCAAAGATGAAAGCTTTAAGTATACTCTCAAAAATGATGATTCTTCAAGGCTGCTTTAGTAAAGAACACGGTTCTATATAGAACCACAAACACATACAGAACCCTATGCATGATTAAAGGGTTCTTTGCACAGTGAAAGCGTTCTTCAGATTGATGAAGAACATACTGTAGATGTTTCTGTATAGAATTTTTTTGAAAACTGTTCTATATAGCACCAAAAAGGGTTCTTATTTTGTTTTGGTGTCAAGCTTGTAACAATAGAATAACCCTTTTAATGCTATATGGAACCATACAGCATATTCTCCATCAATCTGAAGAACCTTTTCACAGTACAAAGAACCCTTTAATCATGCACAGGGTTCTTTGAGTGTTCAGGGTTCTATATAGAACCACATCATTTTCTAATCTCCTCAGAAAAATCTCAAAAAAAATTTGAAAGGGAACAATGTGAAAAATTTGGGAGCAGCTTTTTTGGGAGAACAGTAACTTTAACCCACTGGTTTTAAGATTAGAAGAATGTGAGAGTTAAAGTGGCAGTAGAGTTGACAAAAACATCAAAATCATTTCTAATAAGTCCCATTTTCACATTTTCATATGGAACACATTGTACATTATTGTTGATTTGGCTGAATTTTATGTGCATTTGAGCTCATTGCGTGGTTGTAAAAGAGGAAGAATGGCTCGCACACAGCAGTTCGTGTTTTCCTCTGTGCAGCTACATGATATACAGGGTGGTAGGTGCCTGTCATGGAACAAAGACAATGCACAAACAAGCTATTATACACACATTTACACACATGTGCACACAAACACACACACGTGAAAGAGTGAGGAAAACAGATGAACACTTCCATGCATTCATTGCAGACCCATGCAAAACAAACATTCAAATGTATTGAAATCTCCTGGGCAAAGTAGGTGAGGTTTTCATTGTGGGGGGCAGTGAAGCTGGTTCAGTAAACCTACCCATTCACACGTGTCTCACTGTCACATGGATGACACAAGCAGAAACACAAAGACTTCACGGCCTGCAGCTTATGCCACGCTGTCATCAGTAAGCAATAACCTGATACGACCACTGGTGTCACTGAGCGGCCTGTGAAAATCAAAATGTTTGTCTTTATGAGCTTGTGCATGTGCTCGCTTGTAGACTCTAGACACTGTTTGGGGACAAATAGCTGTTCAAAATGCTTTTAACTCTCTGGGGTCTGAGGGCATTTCCTCATTTATGCATATCTTCTTAAATTTGCCTTTGAAGGCACTTGTATATAGTTTGATACCCATATGTTACATATGAAAATGCTTTGTTATCTTTATCTCTACTTTCCAAAATTGCTGCAGCAACTTCAGCAGCTGTAAACTCTATGCACGACATTTCTCTCGTGACGACTGAATGAACAATAAAGGGTTTCTGATGTGATGGGTCAGTGGTTGGTAATTTCCTGAGTGTCCACTGGTCAGTTTCAGACAAAATGTAGACGAATACATGAAACCACCAATTAAATACTGTGAGAGGCAGATGACGGGTTTCTCAGCCCCTCTTCATAGCCTCATAACCCTGGATATGAGTCTGGAATGATTTCACGATAAGAGGGAATAGAGGAGGCGACGCTACAGATTCAAGTGTTTGAACCGTATTTCTGCCCTGTATTATCACAAAGAGAGTGAAACATACATAGAAACATTAAATTTGAGACATGGGTCTGTTTGTCAACCCTAACTTTTTTTATTTAAATCACTCTTATGTCAAGAGTTTCCATATAGGCTTTCAACAACTGTAAAACTGTCAAATTATTACTAAGACAAAATCTCTTCATACAAAGGAAGGGAGTGTTGAAGCAAAATTTACTTAAAATATTAGCAAATACTTTTTTCAAAATGACATATGTGTTACTTTGTTACATTCTTATTGCTGAGATAATTGGTTTTAAACAATGAGCTTAGGCGCCTAAGACTTGTGCATGTGTGTTCATGCGTAAATTTGAGTGTGAGGAAGAGATGAATGATGGGTTTCACATGTGTGTGCATGCCACTGATCCCCCTGCTTTGTTTTGTAAAGTTGGTTAAGTGGTATGCTACTGGGCTGTAATGGATCCTGTGTGTGAGCAAAGACAAACGAGAGTCCCACAGTAAGATATGTGAGTGTGGTGGTGAGGGTGGTGGTGGGGTGGGGTATGAGGTGGGGGGAGAGCTCACATTTCTGTGTGAGTGTGGATGTTTTTGGGTCCTGTTGTGGTCTACATCAACAGTGCATGTGATTGGGTCAATATTAGAGATGGCATCAATACGATAGCCAGCATCAGTATAAATACCAATTGAAAATGATCAGATATTGGAGGAACAAATGGACGAAGCTGATCTGATTCTGTAATCTAGGATTGACTGTATCATAATGGTATGTATAAGTCAGAAATGTTCAAGGCCCTTTATCTGAATCCAGTTTCAAGTCTCGAGTCTGTAGCAGAGGATGTTTTGTTTAGTCTTGTTATTAGCTGCAGGCACTGCATTGTACAAAAGTAAACCTCGACTAAAACTTGTCAGGTTAAACATGGTTGAAGCGCTACACGTTTTCTTCGTTTTCTGCAATAAAGTTGGTGGTTCTAGATTAATGAGTTTTGTTCATGTCTTTTTCTCAGGCTGACATTTCAAGAGCCAAAGGAATGCAGGCCTCGCTAACCTCTGATAAGGTCAGCATTTATCATTCCACCATTAGAAAGAGACTAGGAAAAAACATGCTACCCATGGAAGAGTTGCAAGGCAAAAAGCACTGCATCCAAGAGGAACGCCTTCACAGCCTTTCAGAATAATGTTCTGTGGGCTGATAAGTTGAACATTGAACTTTTGGGGTCCGGTTACTCCTGCCATAACACAGCATTCCACAATAAGAACATCACCAACAGTCAAACATGGTGGTGGTAGTGTCATGGTGTGCGGCCCACCAGAAAATCCGGCAGGACAATGTCCAGTCATCAGTCCATGATCTGAAGCTGTTTGGGTTGGGTTTTGCATCAAGACAATGATCTGAATGGCTCAACAGAAAGAAATTTATGGTTTTGGAGTGACCCAGGCAAAGTCCTGACTTGATCCTCATTCAAGTGAGGTGTTGTGGCAGGTGTCCAGTTACAGGAAGTTTTTGGTCACAGTTGTTGCTGCTAAAGGCAGCACAACCAGTTTCTGGATCTGAAACCATTTAGTGTTATTATCTTTTAGAAGTGCTGAACAACTAAATAGTTCCTTTTAATGCTTCATCACATTTCAAAAAATAATCAGTAGTGGTACGAGACAGCACTCAAGGTTTTAAGTATCATTTTTGCTATCAGAAAAAAGTGATACGGTGCTGTTTCCAGAAAATATGTGAGAATATTTTGGAAAAATTGGCTTTGTAATGTGATGAAGTAGTTTCCTCTTACCTATGGGAACAACTGATACAGCACCACCCACTGAGATATGGCTTCAGTCTGTGAGATCACACACACACCCACACACACACACACACACACACACACACACATAAACAACATGCTTAATCCCTATTCACTGCAGTCACACACAGTGATGATGTCACTCACCTGCAGTGAATGTTTGTCTGCACAAAAGCCCCCTTTGTTCTTCTGCAAACACACACTCGTTCTAACCTCACGTGAGACGCAGGAACTGAATAGAGCTGCGTTCAAATCCAAATCTCTCCCTTTATCAGCTAACAAGGCTCTTTAGTGTACTTTACACCCATCAGTGTTGGTCCTTATTCAGTGCTAATGAACTGAAACAGAAATAGTGTTTGGTATGAGCAAGTCTCTTTTTATGGTCCTTCATAAAACATAATATGCCTCACCTGCTTCCGAGATCCTGTTTACGTGCCTTTCCGCATGACATGGCAAATATTCTCAGGTAGCACCGTCTGTATTGTGGGTGTTCCGTCATAGGCCGCACTGCCCGGGGGGAGCTTAGGGGGTGTGGCCATGCAAAGTGACTTTCGGGGTGTGCCACGCTCCCGGGTTAAAAAGGGACAACTATGGCAGTTGTTGTTGTTGGTTATTTGTATTGTAATTGTGTTTGCTTATTGAATTGGGTCTGACTACGTTGGGCTTGTGTGTGTGTGTTTGTCCACCCGCCTTGTGTGTTGTGTCCTTCCAGGTTACCCCCTCCCTGTGTTTCACGTTGGGGTAGTGCTGGGCTGGGCATTTCCTTGTCTTTGCTAAGGCTGTCAAATAAAAGAGCATTCACCAGATTCACCAGTAAAGCGCCACGTTTTCCTTGTCTTCTTTTCGGCCAGCGCTCTTTTATTTTCTTCTTTAGTTCCTTCTTTAGTGTCTTTATTGTATGCTCTCAGGTGAGGTCACTCATATACTACTTTCTTCACTGCAATCACTTTCTTTATGAGTTGTATTATTCTTTGTGTTTTAGAACCATATTTGGTCTTTGTTAGCTTGAATCATGTATACACTCTAAACAGCGTAATCACTGAAACCTTTGACCCAGTTCACAGCCTGCTAAGCTAAACTTTAAACTGATGGCTTAAGTCCAGGAGAAGTGAGAAGTCCAATCTAACACTCAATCTGATGTTATCTCGTTTATGCATATTTGCAGTTTGACTACTGCATTTGGAGTTACGTGCTCCCATGCACAGTGTCCACACTGTGTCCACGTCATACTTAAGGAATTGCTTATAATTACGTGACTCATTCCTGTTTACTTATTTCTTAATTGGTCTTTGCAAGTCACCCTTGGTAAAGAATTCTCTGGACTATAGTAGCACCTAATACTGACTGTCAAATACATTTATTGGATCACTGATGTTTGGGGCTGTTTTTTTAATTCCATTAAATACCAGGAGATTTTCGCCTAAAATCTGTCAAACTTTGGCTCAAACTTGGGCCTAAACTTGGCCATGGTTGGACATTTTTATTAAGATAATGACCCCAAACATACATTAAAATCTACACAGTACTGGTTATAGGAACACAAAATCAATGTTTTGCAAAGGCCCTCACAGCCTGCAGATTTGAACCCAACTGAAAACCTGTAGCATGTTCTGGAAAGGGCAGTCCACAAGCAAAGACCAAAGAATATCAAGAAACTGGAAATGTCCTGCATGTGTTCTCCAACCTATTTAAGCATTACAGAAAGCAGCTCAGTGCTGTGTTTCATGTCAGAGGAGGCTTCACCAAATATTACTAAAAGAGGTGTGAATGTTAAAAAAAATTGTTAATGAAAAAAACTTTTGTTTGTTCAATAACACAGCATGAAAATAAAAATTATAAAAATATATATGACAAAGCTAATCTCTGCTAGTGCAGAAAACCCTATGGGATTTTTAGTAGTATGTTAGCCCTAGGCAATAGGTGAACATGAGCATTTCTTTTGGCTGTTTAGACACAGACATTTGAAGCTTGTAAAAGACATTCCATTCCGTTTCCATTTACAGCATTTAGCAGACGCTCTTATCTATAGCGACTTACAAAAAGTGCTTTGTCTATCTAGAGAAAGCATCTTTGCTAGTTACAAATAGGTTATAGAGAAATCTGGTCCTGAGCTCAGATACTGCTAGAAACAAAAGCCCATGTTGATACCTAGAGAAAAGAAACATGAGTTAAATATAGCGCAATACAATACATTTCAATAAGTGCAGTACAATACATTACAATAAATACTTAACTTATTGCTCACTTAAGTGCTGTATAAAGAGATGCGTCTTCAGTCTGTTTTTGAAGACTGCAAGAGACTCTGCTGTTCGAACAGCCAGTGGGAGTTTGTTCCACCACCTGGGTGTCAGGATAGAGAAGAGTCTTGATGCTTGTCTTCCATGCGTCTTGAAGGACATGGAATGCCATTAGGTACGGAGGAGCTGGTCTGTTTTTGGCTTTGTAGGCAAGCATCAGGGTTTTAAATCTGATACGTACAGCAAGTGAAGGGAGCGCAGCAGTGGAGTGACGTGACTGAAGACTGAAGATGAGCTGCTGCATTCTGGATGAGATGCAGGGGCTTGATGGCCTGCGAAGGAAGATGAGCCAAGAGCGAGTTGCAGTAGTCAAGCCTTGAGATGACAAGAGACTGAACGAGCACCTGGGTGACCTCTTGAGTGACAAAGGGTCGGATCCTCCGGATGTTGTACAGGAGAAACCTGCATGACCGAGTCAGGTTCGCAATATGAGCTGAGAACCATAACTGGTCATCCAGAATCACACCAAGACTTCTTGCATCTTCAGAAGGAACAACCAAAGAGTTCTCTAATGAGATGGCAAGACCATGATGAGGACCTGTAATTGCAAGGATGAATAGCAGCTCAGTCTTGCTAGCGTTGAGCTTCAGGTGGTGAGCTGCCATCCGTGAAGAGATGTCAGTAAGTTTTGTTTGAGTTTTGTTTGTTTTGTTTGAAGCTTGTAACAGACATTGACATGTATTTTATCTTGAATGTAACAGTTTTACAATGACTCTTTCTGTAGAGTCCTTGCATAGAGCTGCCGCCACCTACTAAATGACTGAAACCTGTTTAGACTACCACTCGTTTTCACAGTCAGTGATGAATCTAGAACTTCCAGAAGGCCTAAAGTTTTTCTCACAAAATTGGTCCCACTCATTCTAAATCAAAATGTGATTAGTTGATCCCACTGTCAGTTCTTAATTATATGGTAGTTAATCTAACTTGTTAAGCCTTGAGTTCAGCGCCAGAAGTCCTAACCAATAGGAGCGTTCACTTGGCTGTACCTCTATAGATACAGCCCTGAGGCCTGTACTGTCATGATAATAACTATAGTTTTTACCTGACGGTCCAGTGTAAACAGCTTTGTTGATTACAATGGATTGAAACTTGCAAAGTTGTGGCTGTTAACTTTTGAACTGCAAGTCATTGTTGCTTTTAGTTGATTATTACTTTATTATTGTTTACTGCAAGAAAAGAAATCAGAGTTAACGAGATTTTTTCAGGATATATTGGCATTAATAGCCAATTACAGCCAATTGCATTGTGAGGTTGGAGCTAACTGTGGTATAATTTGTCACAATAAACAGATCTGTTCTTTATGACCTTTTAAACTGCATAAAAGAGCAGCTGCTATTCTCATCTGAAGCAGTTACAAAATGAAACACAGTTGAAAGCAGTGCGGATTGGATGGATGATCTTGTGAGCACTGTTTGTGCTGCGCTTACATATCACATAACTAAATGTTTTTTAAGGATTTGAATTAGAATTTTTTAGACTGGAACATGTTCTGGATAGCTACACTACCCTCTAGAATTACTGGCACCCTTGGAAGAAGCTTGATTGGAACCATTTTGGTGTAAATGTGGAGATATGCGTTGGATCATATTTCAGCTGAAAGCTCCAACCACACGTGTCTCGGATTTCTTTAACATGCAGCCAGATTTTAATCTCAGATCTCCCCGTCTTTGATGACGGTATGTATCCTAACAAGATCCCAGAGCCTTTGGAATTAAAACAACCTGACAACATTACACATCACAGTTTATGGTTTAAACAAAGGCTTTCTTATGGCAAGCGCTCCAAATAGCTTGCTGGCACGGAGGTGGTGTCTAATTGTAGCTCCAGCTCCAGTTGTTTGAAACTCCTTTGTTATTTCTCTTATGGTGGAGATAGATATTTCCAGGTGTGAGGCGGTTTTCACAGGCATTGTGTGGTTTATTAAGTCTACCAAGCTTTTGTTTTGTTTTATTTCTGCTTTCTTAGATCTTCTCCATGTGGATGGGTGATAGGGCACCTGGCTTATACGACATAAAAGTAATACTCATATTTTTTCTGTTACTGTTAAGCTTAATCACCTGTCAGTAAAGCACTTTGAGTTACCACCGGAATGAAAAGTGGTGTATAAATAAAGATATTACTATTATTATAATTAAATCCAGAGTAATAATAGGGAGTTTAAAACTAGATGTTGGAACATTGCTGTGAGGATTTGATTGAGCATTAGAGAGGTCTGATGTAGGATGATCAGTTCTGGATCACAAACACCACTGCAACTCATCCCAAAGCTGTTGGATGGAGCTCCATCACTCCAGAGAACACAGTCCCACTTCTCCACGGCCCAGTGCTGGGGGGCTTTATACCCCTCTAGTTGATGCACAGCACTGGACATGGTCACCTCAAGTGCAGCTGTTCCAAAGCATCCCATTGTATTGGTCTGTGCTTTTCTATGGAGATTACACAAGCTGTGTGTATGCAGTTGAACACCTGTATCAGCAACTGATGGACCTTAAAGTAGCTGAATTTACTAATGAGAAGGGGTGTCTTTAAATAGTAGCATTTGATTTAAAGGCTACCTACATAGGGATTTCATAACACATACATAAACATTGAATGACATATTTATAAAGCAATGTGTCAAGCTTTATAAACTGTTTATGCTGTTTATCATAAGACAAAATAAGATGTTTTATTATTTATTATAATTATATGGTATTCACATAAAGGGCCTTAAACTAAAGCGATGGATATTTGTTCCATTTCTAACACCATTAGCAAGCATCACTTGCAAGTAATAGAACTTATACATAAGGCAAAGGCCAAGTTCAGAGTTTTAGATATCCTTTCTACAGAACTCCTCAGGTAGAAACTGCCTATATAGAACTATTATTTCATTATTAGTTCTGTTACTTGAGAACGATGCTTCTCAAGAGCAATATAAAGTTGTAAAAATGGAAAAAAAATGTCTGTCTGTGTAGTTTAAATCAGACTTTTGTATGTTGTTTTTACTTCATAAAACATTATATGTTGTCTTATGTCATCTTGTGATCACTGGCATAAACTGTTCATAAATACTCAAGTATTGCTGTATAACTATATTGTTCAATGCTTTTGTATGTTGTATGAAGCTTCTATATAGATAGTCTTCAGATAAAGTGTAA